GACGGTTCTTTGGATAGAGCCACTCGAGTAGTTAGTCCAGTTGATGTTCATTTCGCAACCCAAACAAAAAAAAGAATGTATTAAAATTCGAAACCAAAAAATAAAAATAAAAAATAAAGCTAACAAGGCTTTGTATAAATATTTGCATAAATATTAATTTATAGTGGTATCCAGATAGGTACATAATAAATATTTAATTAAATAGAGGGTTAAGCACTTCAAATGATTGTTTTTTGAAATTGATATCTTAACTTTGAACTATAACGAGGGAATTTAAAAAATTTATTAAAATAAACGGTCAGCCCATACTTTTTTTTACCATTTTTCTGTAGTAATTTAAATTAGAATCTAACATTTTACTATATATTTAATTCAGTAAGACAGGGCAGCATCCAATCAACAATTTTTTTTATTCATCACTGACTACGTGATGCATGTTAATGACAATTTTACAGTTTGTTAGCAACTAATTACGCATTGATTTCAATAAATTGACTTTTAATTGCTTAACTCTTGTTTTCCTCTTCCCTCCTCCCTCTGCTGTGCTGATTTCTTTTTTTGTGTACCAATTTATTGGCTTAATTGACAAAACAAAATGAATACATGAGAATCGTGGCCAATCGGTTAGTTGATTTATTTGCGCGATATTTTGCTGTTTTAATTGGATGCTGGTAAATCGAGCTGTCACATAAATAAAATATAACAATAAAGCATTTATTTAGTTTAAGGAAACAGCAAAAAAAAAAAACTGCAAAAATGGTTGAGGACAGAAAAAAGTTTGTGTCAGCTTTCACAAACTTTTGCAAAAGATATTTTCAAGTGCAAAGTTTTTTTTTTGTTTTATTCTCCTGAGGACGGGACACTGGTTGAATTGTTTCAACTCCACGTATAAGGCATGAGACAACAGCCACCCCCATGCTTACTCCACGCCACGAGTGGCTGCATTTAGTGTGGGTGTTTCAGGGTAGCTCGACCAGGGTTTGTCTGGTTGTGTGTGTGTGTATATTGTACGCTGATTTCCAGGTCTAAAAAGTCAATCACAATTCCCAGTGCAATCAGAAGACGTCGTATTAATATTTAAAGAGGTCATCGAAATTGGTTTCAGCTCACCCTGTATGTGCGACAACTCCCACACCCCTAATACCTGCAACTTGCCAGATAAGATGGCTGTAGCAATTTGTGGCCTGCAATATTTTCCACTTAGTTGACGATTTGTTGCAGTTAAGTGGCTCAGCGGCTGAGTGGTTCTTAGCGCAACCCTCCCAATCTATGACAAGATTGTATCGTTCAGCTTTGTCCTCTCTTTATGTCTGGCAATTTGGGTTTTATGATTTGCAGCATTGTCTCAGCCGCGTTTATGATCTCACATCGCTGCATTTTTAATGCCAGATTGAATACACATTTGCATTTGCTCCATTGCTATTTATGCTTTCCAGATTTTCCTGGATTTTCCTGCTTATATCTTAGCACAATGACAGCTATGTGCTGTCTGGTAACTGTCTGAAAACTTTCACTTTTTGCTCATTCTTCAAGTTGCGGCTATTCAATTACATTCTGTTTCAATCAATCACACTCAAAGTTCAAGAGTTTTTCCTTTCTCGCTTGGGAAAACATTTGCATTCATTTTCCTTACTGCTGCCATTGACTTGAACCATTGCGTGTGTGTGCGTGAAAAGTATTTGTAGTTCAGTTAGGAGAACTTTTTGAGTAGTTTTCTAATATCAGTGGGTCTATTTATACAATGTAATAATACTGTAATAAAACTGCAAAATACAGCTTAAATAAGATTAATAGCCAAACGATTTAAACAGTAGAAATGTTTGTAAATTGATAAAGATAATAATATTTGGCTATTTAAAATGAATAGCTAATTCAGTGGCTACCTCCGCGAAAACAGCGCAAGTTTTCAAAATTATCTGCCTTAGGTCTTCCGTAAATCTCATTAAAACTTGTTGCAGTATTTGCTGAAATGATGTAAGTACACAATTATTTGAGTAGTTTAAATTTTCGTTAGCAAAGAAACTGGCAAGTTTTGCATAATTGGTTAAGCCCCAACTCTACTTCATTTGAATGCCAACTTTTAATTCAGCAAACCCCAAATGAATAAAATGAAATTATTAAAAAAAAGAAAATAAATATTATAAAAAGAAAAGCAAAGCAAACGAATTAACACTTTTGCCAAGACCGCTGAAAGCTTTGGAATACCAGGGGAGTCTCCTAGCTCCCAATTCCCAGGCTTCCAGTCCTTTTCCCTTGGCAACTTTTGATAGCCCGCAGTGCAAGTTCATGGGTGGGTGTAGGGAAGGGGTGGAGTGGAGCCGTAGGATGCTGCGAATCCGGAACTTCCGTGCAGTGCTCAAGTTCTGTGCCGCTGGCTGTGAGCATAAAGTCTATGAGCACAGGGACTTGATGGGAAGCAAGGCACGCCGAGTTTTGGTTGCAAAAATAAATTTGTATTGTATTTGTTGTTGTTGTTGTCGTTCTTGATGTGTGTGCGCTGCTGCTGCTGCTGCTGCTGCTGCTGCTGCTGCTGCTGCTGCCACTGCTGCTGTTGCTGCTGTTGCTATTGCTTTGTTGTTCTGGCGCGCCAAAGAGCAAACACAGTGAGCGCAAAAACCGCAGCCACTAAATGCATTAAAAGCCAGGCTCCATGAAATGGAGGCGTTGCAAATTGCGGGCTATGTGTGTGTGTGTGTGTGTGTGGGTGTGTGTGTGTGTGGGTGTTTGTATTATTTGGGTGAGACGCAAGAGCTGTCTGAGGGCTGCGGTGTGCGTTATCCTCTTGTGTGTTGTGCTGCGGTAATATTAACGCGGCTTTTGTATCTCGCTGCCAAGTTTCGAGTTTGGCATTGTTTTCCTGCACGGATATCCTTAATGAGTGAAAACTGGGCTAAGGCTCGGCGCTCTTGAGTCTGCCACACAGCAATGGGAACGGCAACAGCAGCAGCAATCATAATTATCCACCTCCACCACCCTCCCCCAACACCGACAGCTTAGCTGACAGAAACACACTCGACACTCGACGACAACTTTTCACCCCAACCCTATACACACACACAGACACACACACACACACAGGCACACACACACCAACACACCCACACACTTGAGTCTTTCTCTGACCACATGCGCACATAAATCTTGGGCCACCTACTGTTACGCTTGTGTAATTATCATTGTGATCACTTTTCAACAGAGTGCGAAAAACTTTTGTATTAAAAGTAAACTTATGACAGGCCAGTAGCGCAAAGGCGCTGACTAAGTTGCTCGAGTCCTGCGGTCACAGGACACTGGACAGAGTATACGTTAGAAGGAATCTAAACAGGCGTATATAGTACACACATAACGTTGCCACTGGCCATTGTCAAGTGTAATTTATCATTCAGTCAGCGTCCTTCGATTGCAGTTTATCATCCAACCACATTTTCACCCTCCTCTCCCATTCACTTCTTGTGTAGCAGTTGCTTTACTGGGTCGTCTGTACAGTAATTTTTCTCTATCTCTTCGTCTTTGCACCCCCAGTTGAAAGAAAGCAAAAGCTACGTTAGGAATTGCATGACTTAACTAAGCAAGAGAAAAACGAATGGAAAATCTGTTCCTGAACTCAGGTTGTTATTTTTCTTGCCGGCACTTTAAAGCCATTTGAGGGAGGGTCGCAGGATTTGAGGGGTCGCAATTGCTGCCAGCTTGGTAAAATAGCAATTAATGTGGATTGAAGCTTCTACCTGCAATAATCGGAAATAATTGAAGAAAAAAAATAAAAGCAAAGCGAAATGAAATAAAAGAAATAAGACCTCAACACGGTGCATGGTTCATGGAGGTCTTTGAAGGATGTTTGTACGTGCAATTTGTAATGTTTTAATTGTTGTTTACTTAGCTGCAGGCTGAGACAAGAGGGCGCTGGCCAAAAGAATTCTGATTAGACGCTTGCGGGTGGTTGGAGAATTTAAAACGCAACCGCAAGCCACTGGGGCTAATTTCGATTGTGGATGGGCATAATATTAATGATATTAGTTTGCAATCAACTGGGCCAATGATACCAAACGAATGAATTCAATTGCGATACTAGAGACTCAAATTAAAATTACTACCAGAGCACCAAGTGGCCAAGAAGTACGACTAAGTTTTATAGGACTTCAACTCGTATCACAGATAAATGATGTAAATTGTGTTAAAAAGCAAATACCAATCACATCTTCAATATTTTTCACTCTGAGCGAGTAATTTTATTCAACAACATGCTTTAAGCAAAGTGCGTTGGCATTTAACGGTTTTTCTGCGCGCATATTTCAAAAATTCCACTCGTTACTTTCCCCACACTTGCAACATTCTCTCAGTGGCTGAGCAACAACTCTCCCCGCAATGTGTAAGCGCCAGGAGCAGCGGAATTTGCACAACTCCGAAAAAGTGTCAAACTCTCTGCAATTAATGCGCAGACTCAACATTTACCGGCAGAATTCAGCAACAAATGTTGTTTATCCTGCGAAGTTGATAATAAACAAAAGGAAACGTGGCTTAATATCTATGATAAGAGGCTGTCTTTGCTGGAATTATTAAAATTGTAAATTAAGCGAAAAATATGAATAACTTTAATTAATAAAAGGAAACAAATGCTTTACTGTAAAAAATATAATATGAAATTAAAATATTTATCAGTAAAACTGACTTGATTGGAGTAATCGAGTTCCTATAGAATTTGAGCAGTTGGGATGAAGAGGTTCAGGGAATCAAACAGCTGATTTGTGTGCCTGCAGGAATTCCGCTCGCACTCCGAATTTCATAATACACGAAGTGCCCTAAGCGAAGTTACGAGCGTGCAACACGATGTGGCAAACTCACCACTTTCTCGGTGGGGTGGTGGGGGGTGGCTGTTTGCTACTGTTGGGGGGTAAACAGCGTAGCTGTAAACTCGTAAACTGTTGGCTCGTTGGCGTTCAGTTGAGTTTTGGTTACTGCCGCCAACGGTTAACGGTTTGAAGCGAGCCACGCGTCTCCGCATTGCCACATTGCCACTTGCCACAGTCGCATTTGCAATCGCAGCGACAGTTCATATATACAAAAAAAAAAACAAAAACTAAAAAATAAAAACATAAACAAACATTTAGACAACAAATAAAAAGCCGTTTCGCGGGCGTGTTGCAAGCGCAGTTTGCACCGTGTGTTATTAATTTGTTTAATTGCGAGGCGTTGCAAACATGCGGAACTCAAGTGGCCATCAGGTGGCAGGAACCGCAGCGACGCTGATGCGCCGCAAGATTTTGGTGGCAAACGGAAAAGCAAAAGCAAACGGAAGCGGAAGCATTTAAGCAAAGTGCCTGCTTTCAGGCTCCCGTCGAGCGCACTATGTATGTGTGTGTGCCGCTGTTGTTGTGCGAGTGTGTGTGTGTGTGTGAGAAATGCTTCTGAAGCCGGTTGGGCTAAGCCAAAGTTGCAGCTGAAACTTGCAATAAAAATTGAATACTGAATACTCAGAAAAGAATAAGAAGAAACCCCTCATTGCAGCCAGCACATCCTTGCGATCCTTTGGCGTCTGTGTGGGTGTGTGTGAGTGTGTGTGCATGTGTGCGAGAGTGTGGCGAGCAAATAAATGCTTTTGCAACGCTTTTTTAGCCATTTTATCTCAAGTCGAAATACTGTAAAAAATTGTAAAATGGATTTACATTTCGTATTCATCGTTTTCCTGCTGAAGTGGACCTATGCACAAGGTAAGTCCATGTTTTGAGTCCTTCTACTCTTCTGTGTGTCTAAGTTTTCTGTGTGTGCGTGTGTGTGTATATTCGTATTCGTTTTCAGAGTGTGTGTGGGTGTTTGTGAATATGTATTCACTTGGGCATTCTGTTTGTGCAGCTGTAGCTGCTGTTGAAGTGCAGTTTCTCGCATTTGTTCAAGTGTTCAAGCCGGCTGCAATTGCAAATATGCCATAGAAAATACCTCAGAGCTCAACATCATATGAGTATTTATTATACTTGTTTACTCAAATAAATGCATCTGTGTGTGTGTGTGTGTGGGCGTCTGTGGCACAGTAATGAGGCGCATTTAGCTTAGGTAACAGAGCGAATAGCTCCAAAGTGTGCGGGCTTATTTTTTTCACTCGTCGTCGGATTTCTGGTACAAGTTTTTTTTTGTGCCGGGCTCAGAATCCAAAATGAAGCTTTTGAATACAAATGCAAAAGGTTTACTTTATTATTGATGCTGGATTCACAGGTGAAAGGTGTTGCCGACAAGTACTAACATTCGAATGTGTTCTCAAGTTTTGCAAACAACAAACAGCAAAAAATGTTACAAAATTCTGCCATACCGATTGAGATTTGTTTGGAAGGCAGCATAAAAGTTGATTCTGATGTTTTCGGACTGTAAAATGTAACATATTTTATTTAATATATTTTGCTAAGACCACTCCTAAGAGAAAACACCTATATTAAATAATTTCATATTTAGAATGCAAATTAATTAATTTCCAAAGTGTTCGAAATTGAAACATGAATGCATAATTAATATGTTGAGAGTTCTGCAACAAATTAAATCAAAGTAATCAATTTTCTCTATGCTTACTAAATACTAATTACTTAACATCCGCATGCGAAGAATCAGCTAAAACCCACTTAAATAGTTCTTATTTTGTGCAAGTCTGCGGAAAAGTATTTAAGTGCTGGTCCAGTTATGAGCTAATGTATTGGTTAGCTGCCGTCTACTTAGAAAATATCTCACAGTTAAGTTTCGTTTAACATTCATTTACTTGCGCTCAAATAAACTTATTTGCTTGGATTTCATACGAAAAACTTTTGCCAGCCACAAAACAATTTCCGCACTCAGCTTTCTTCTTCTTGCCTTGCCTCAGTCCTCCAAAGTCGCTGCCTAACAACTCAAACAAATTAGGCAAAAAAAAGGGCAGAAGGAAAAAAAAAACGAAAAACCAAAATGCGGCCAAGAAACAAGACACAAGCAACCAGCCATAGTCAGCGTTAGAGCCAGAGGGCAAACCAAATTATGAATGAGTTTCTTGTAGCGCTCGTATCTTTCATATACATATATATACATATATATATATATATTCGTCTTTGGCTGTTGCATAAAATATGCGCATTTAATAAGCCCCAACATGAATATATATACAGCTCTTGTAGTGTGCTACTCTACCCGAATGCAATAGGAAGAGCAAGTAAATATGACCCTCGCAAATGAAGTGAAGCGAACTGTACAAAATGGAATGAAACGGAAACGAAGCAACATTAAACAAAACAGTTTTACCGCACATTGTGGCAATTATAACGCATAAATTATAAATATTGCAATATATTAATACGCTGTGCGTTTCAAATTTTACTTATTTGGGTTTTCAACTGACAGAAATAGTATCTGAGTTTCCATTGGAGGAAGCTATGCTATTTTGACCACGCAGACGGATACCAATTTTATGCATTTATAATTTTTGAAATGAATCTCACGAGTAGTAATCAAAAAATACGCATTTACAGGGTAGCTGCTAGTCGAGAACGGCATTCTATGCTTGTGCCTTTTATTATATTGTAGTTTCATGCATGTAAACGTATTCAATTGAATAATATCCTGTCATTTTGTAGGGCAGCTTCCTACTCGGCTTTTTTGGCATGTCAAAATTTTTATCAGCGCCACGTAAATCCGCCATGGAGCAGTAAATATATAAATCCCAGAAAAAATTGCAGACACTCACACACATAGCCAACACACACGCAGATTCACACACATGCCCAGGCACAGGCAGAGGCAGAGGCGTGCGCTCAGAAGTATGCAATAAATTGTTGTTTGGCCGAGCATTGGCAAATTTATTGGCATTTTAGTGGCAGCAACTCGCAGGGCTGTAACATAAAATAAAACAAATTAAATACTCTTTTTTTTGTTGGGTTTTCTGTTTTTTGAAAACTTTTGTGTGCTGCATTATTTTATTTGTATACCATGGTAAAAGTTTTTTTTTTTTTTTTGGCCTGTTCGCATTTTCTTGTGCTTAATTTATAAATTATTCATTTGGCAGCGGCAGCCATTGGGCCAATTATCATTTTCATTGCATGCTGAACTCAGTTTCAGTTCGATGTTGTCTTTTGGGGGCATACACCAAAAATATAGGCTACAGCAGTAGCAAAACAAACACACATAAGCCCGGTTGGCCCAGGCAAAATTAATTTCTATGCGGTTGTGTGTGTTTCTCTTTTCGGGTATTTATATTTGTTGTTTTGGTTGCCGTCTTGTGCCTTGCGGCCAACAGCGTCGAGCATAAATTTATTTGGCAAAAACTTTCGCAGACCGGAATATTAATGAGTATTTAACCTAAATTGTTGCCTTTGATAAGTGGTATGAAATGTTGCTTTTGCCCCCCCTTCACACAGCAACCGTTCGTATCAATGTGCCACAGACAGCTATCTCCTGGCCCCCATTTTCCTTCCTCCCTCTTTGCACATGTTCACGTGGGTTATGTGCGTGTGCGTGTGCGTGTGTATGTGTGCGACTGTGCTACGTAGCGTTAAATTACTTAAAAAAGGGTTAAAATTATTTTTATATGGTTACATCTTTAAGACTTGGCCAAAAAGGCTTTGGGCCGCAAATAAAGGCAACTAGCTTGCCTCTTGCTCTTTTCCGGCATTTCTTTGTTATCTTTTTGGGTTGTTATTTCGGTAATATGCCCCAAAAGTGTTTTGTACCAGTTTGGCTTTTGTTGTCTAGTTAATTGAGACGAAATTTGCCATTTTTGGGGTACTTTTTAAGGTATTATAGCGTTAAATGAGTTTGCACAAATTGTGCTGTATCTTCGTGAATGGATATAAATTGGCAGACTATTACTTGTACTAATTTGTGTGAAATTTAACATATTTGCAAAATATTTGGATTGATTGAAAAACCTGTAATCAACTGTTGTGATGATATTAAAATATTATTAGCTTTCGAATGTGGCAATTATAGCAAATCCCATGAAGTGCTGAAATAGTTGAAATTCAGCTCTGAAGTCAATCGATTTATTGAATTCTTGAATACTGTTGAATTGGAAACGTTTTAATTAAGTCTCTACTTTAGCGGCAATGACTTTAATCCAAATTGAAAACTCTATGAAAAGGCAACCTGCCAGTTACATGCCGTTGCCTTGAGGGCTTTGCCAAATTAGAGAAATGCGCAAATTTTAATTAATTTCTGTATCAAATGGATAAGCCTGTCATAATACAAATAGCATAAATACATGTAGGCACACAAATATATTTGTATATATGTGTATGCACATACACATGTCCTTAAACAAACAAATCATTAGGGATAGACACATGTATTTATTTATCTAACGTTTCCTTTATGTGAGTGTGTGTGTGTGTGTGTATGTGTGTGCATGTGTATGTGAGTGTATGTCTGCACATATGTGTAAACAAACAATAAAACATGCTGCAAAGGATATGCAGGGCTCGGAACTCAATTATGCTGATGCCTTTCAGCGGCTGAAATAATGGCAATATTTTGATTAAGTTAATTAAGTGATTTCTCGTTTTTACTCATACCCCGCAAACAACAGCAACAACAATAGCAATAACAACAAGGACAATAACACAACGACAATGCCTATCAACGGCAATTGGTGTTCCTGTAGCGCTAATCCTGGCGCAGCTTGACATGATTACCCGCTGAGTCTTTGTTTTGCGGGACGTTTGCGACATGAAAACATATTTCAAGCCATTATGCACAAAACTAGGCCAACAAGAACAGCAGGCAGACACGACAACAACAACAACAGCAACAACAAGGAGCGTCCAAATACGTCTAATGAATTGGGCTAGTAAATTTTCTGAAGCAGCTGCTTTGGATAAGTTTAAAGTGCCTCTGAAGCATGAGCATAAAAAGCAAATGAAATAAAAACAAAAACTATGAAATGCTATAAAAGACCAAGTCGAATCGTTGATACTCTGCAGAATTGGAACTAGTAGACCTCTTATAACAAACATAGTTAAATTAGATATAGATTGATAAAGTTTATGTTTATTGCCGATTAATACTTTCTTGGAACCGCTGATACTCTTCTGAATTGGGACTAGTAGATATCTTCACACAATTATATTTTAATTTGTTACAGATTAGCAAAGTTTATTTTTATTACTGATTAATATTTTTATGTCTGCCTTCTAGGAAGGATAGAAATACGGGAATGCAAAAATATGTTAACATTTCTATATGTGAAGAGCAAGCTGATATTATATGATTTTAGTGGAGAACTTTCACCGCTCTTTTTCAAGTCAAGAAAATTGCAGACCCAATTTGCTGCATTTAATATTTTATATACCCAATTAAATGTTGTGAAACAACTTGAAAATGGTCGAAACAACGGAACGCTGACATAAACAAGTGTTGAGAATATTTTTTATGACCACTTTTCTTATTCTTTTTTCACGATTTTTTGTTGTTGTTGTTGCTTGTTTTTGTGGCAAGCCTGGCGCCGGAGCAATCATAAAGCATTGAGTGACCGACGGCTCAGACTGTGACGTCCGTGTCCGGGTTAAGAATGTCTGGCGCAAAGGAAGCCGTTGTTGCTGTCATCGTCTGGGAAGCTGTGGAGTACGTTTCGTTGATTCACTTGGCACTTGCTCGCATTTCTGGCGCATTTTTTAAATATTTACCCTTTCGACCCTTGAACCGTGCACCCGTCAACGCCCCCGCAGCAAAGTGTCATTGACATTTTAATGTGCTAATGAAGATGAGG